AGGTTAGGTGGTGGTAGTCAGAGGTTTTACTTGGAATGTAGGCCAACAGTTCTTGCTCCGAGAGGGTGGTAGTGTAGTCGGCCGGAGACGTGAGACACAGCAATAAATACGTTGTTCATGTTGATATAATCATAGTTTCATAGACATGGGCGTCGGCTTGAAGCCCCAGCAGCAAGGTAAGGCCGAATAGTGGTACTGTGATTTTGATATTCATGTGTGGTGGTGATGTATGTAAGATGACATTTTATTTTGTCAAGAACAATTATTTTTTTTCAGTGGCAGTGCTTATTGTTTTATATATCAACTGGGTTGCAGCAACAGCAGCAGTGTATCTCGGAATTATCACAAAATCCTTTGTTAAACGCCATGCATGATAGTCTGTTTTTCCCGCCAATATTACCCCTTGCTGTCCCACTGCATTTAAGCTTTATGGTGTTTTGCTTCTTATAACCACTCACGAGTTGCGTCTTTAAGGCCTTAACCGATGTTCAAAACAAAGTCGGTAGTTATTTGCAACAACAACAAAATAATTGCATTATACAAACAGTGATAGACAGGACTTCCAGACACAACAAAATGAAGCCTGTTCAAGGCCCTCATTTGGGTCACTGTCCGGAGACTTGCCGGGCGAGAGGCTGTCTGGCTCTCGATTACGAAGGATTCATTGACTGTGTTATGTAGTGTAATACATCTCATTAGAAGTAAATATCGAAATCTGTTGGCGGATGCAAATCTAGAAAATCCTTGGAAATTTGTTGAACAAAAACATGTTTATTTTCCCATAAACATAGACATATGAAGGTTGGGGAAGGAGAAGGGGGAGAGCTAAGCAGAGGGATAGGGAGAAAAAGAGAGAGAAACGTATATTTATATACATAAATATAAAAATACACAAGTATGTGTATGTGTACGTACGTGTGTGTGTGTGGGGGGTGTACATATGCATGTATGTATGTACATGTGTATATAAATGTATGTGTTTATTTATATATTTATTTGTTAATATGCATATGTATTTTTATGTATACTATATATTCCCATATTTCTATTTATTATACATGTATTGGTATATGCGCGTCTGTGTGCATGTGTATGCACGTACAAAGCCTAATGAGAATGAGTTCAAAATCCCTACATGTGTACCCCTCCCCCTTGCCACAGCCAAACTTACGACGTCACGAATGGTAGGGTATTGCCTGGTGACAACACTTGCATGTTAAAAGTCACGGCGCCTTTCATTTCCATCCGGGCGGGGTTGCGAGCCCTTTGAAGGTGGCAGCGGCCGGGGAGTGAGCGGCCGGATGTCGCGCGAGGACCGTCACATTCGCCGCTTGAGAGGACGTGATGATTCGGAGGCAACGGCGGCCGCGGCTCTGGCTGTAGGGACGGATGGGAGTGCACGAGTTCACGGTCGCTTTCGTTGGGCGCTGCGAACTGCGCTGTCTATTCTTGTTAGAAGCGATTGTTGTACGATTGTACTTTGTTTAGGTATGCATTGTTTCTCCTCCCGTTTTTTCTTTATTGCTCATGTTATAGTTCTGTATTGTTTCCCCTCCCGTTTTCTTTACAGCCCATTTTCTAGTTCTATAATGTTTCGCATCCGTTTTCTTTGCCACATTCTCCAGTTGTGTACTTTTGAACTTCATCTGGCCTGCTGTTATTTTACTGGCGGAGGGTCTATGCTGTTTTATCCTTAATGCACGACATATACAGCATCTAACCTATCCTGTCCGTTATTTTGGTACTATGCATGGACAGTGGCTCACGATTTCTCACTTTGATGTATAGTACACTTTTTGTCTCAGTTTTATATGGCGATTGCTTATTGTAAGAGATCACCCATAGTTAGTGTCACATTTTTGTTATTTTATGTGCGAGTATGTTTGTGTTCGCGTATGTATATGTATGTGCACGTGATTTATATGATGATGTCCCGTCGAAGAGGTCGTAGTAAATACGTTTGATCTCAGTGTGGACATGATTGGCCGCAGATCTCGTCCCTCCGCGCCGCCGCCCGCTCCTCAGCACGGCGCCCCTGTACCGAAGCAGCAGACCAGGAACTCTAATAACACGGAACATTTGTAACCGGCACAGACCGTGGTCCTGCCTAGAAGTAATCGACCGGTCTTGGAGGCCAGAAATAGCAAGAAATGAGTCAGTTTTGTGTGACAGCTGAGCGGCAGCCTTTGCGAGCGGGCGCGGCGCCCCTGGGGAGGCCGTGTCGCCGTCCGGATGACGACGCTCTCTGACCCTTGGCTCGGGGGCCGCTCGGGCGGAAACACAAAGTTTCTCATTATGACTCTTGCTAAGCTCTGAGGGCGACCTGCGCGCCCCACGCCCAGTCAACTCTTTTGATAATATCAGTGTGTGTGTGTGTTTGGTTCTTATGTGGGCATGTATGTATATATGGTTATTTATATATTATGTATGTATGCACACACACATGTGTGTGTTTAGTTACACACACACACACACACAAACACACACACACACACATGTATATATATATATATATATATATATATATATATATATATATATATATATACATACACGCACGCGTTGACATTCAAAAATCCGGCAGCCTCCCTGAGGAGTGCCGTTTTTTTTTTTTAATGTCGGATTTTAAAAATATTCTCTTTATATTAAACTGAAAATAACTGCATTCGCAGTCCTTTAAAGAAACAAACACTAAATGATTTTTAAAATTATTATTTTTTTATTTATTATTATTTTTTATTTATTTATTATTTATTTAGTGTCCCAGTATTTCCACTTGTTGCTGAATCCATCATGGGGCTGTACAACAGCAAAGGCATGATAAAATGAGAAGGAATGAACAGGGATGCCTGTTAGCAAATGTAAACAGATGATTCTGGAGTACATCTGTATTATATCTGTATGGATGTGCATATGTGTGTGTAATATATATATTTATATATATGTGTGTGTTTGTGTACACACGCACACACACACACACACACACACACACACACACACACACACACACACACACACACACACACACACACACACACACACACACACACACACACATATCGCGTGTGCTGCATGTATGTATGTTTACTTAGGCATACGGGAGAGCTAGTCATGTGCCTGTTAGTGCTTTGTCGTTATTGGCCGGCGACCCTTGAGATGGGCGGCCGGCGCTGTGGCGGCGAAGAAGCTCAGGCGTGTGAAGGCGAAGCCGGACGACTGGTATAAGGCGCGGGTGGGTGATTGGTGCGGTAATTGACAGGAATTATGAATAACGAATTGGCCGCTCTCGGAGGTGACATTTGATGGCGCGGGTCGTATGGGCACCGGCGGAAGGGGGGGGGGGGGAGGAGTGTTCCCAGCGGCGGTGAGTGCCAGGGGTTGCCCGGGTGACGCTCGGCGGCCGCCGCTCCGCTGCGGCTTCGAGAGACGGGCGGCGCCTGGGAGGAGAGGGCCACTGCGTAAACCAAGCATGGCTCGTGGTGCCGTTGGCTTCACGAATGGCATTTTCTCAGACGCCATATTTGCAGTCGTCGTTGCCATGGAAACGATGTTCACCCAGCATCTTTCCTGGTCAGGAACCTTTTCTTAAATTGCATCTCTCCCAGACAGGTTGCCAGGGCTTCTCAAAGGTGTATACGTAGATATTATTATAACTGATTATTCTACAAGTATTTAACTCATGGGAATCTCGTTTCAAGCTCTCCTCTTGAAATATTATGAAATAAACCCGTAGTGGAAGCTTAGCATAATACCATGCTTGATAACTCCAACGCATCACCACTAAGGACAATCAAGTGATTGCAATTCGTGCATCGTGTTGCAAGATTCACCCTTTCATTAGCTGCGCATGACGTTTGCGAAAGCTGCCGGTCTATAAAAGACTGAAGTGTTGTTATTGGGACAGTTATTGAATTATAGTCAACAATAACTGGAAATTAAAAGTTGTGGAGAGTCGATTGCAATCATATAAGGGTATTCATACGATTAATTAAATGCGATGAGTGATTCGCCATTTGTTTGGCGTTTAGAATAATCTGGCAAATGTGTATGTGAAATGATTAACTTTCATGCTTCTGTAAACTGTAACTGAGGTGTTTGTAAAAGAATGAAAGGTAACACACAAAGTAAAATATATACACTATCGAATGTGAAGTACGGAGCTGTTAGAACGAAGCACGAATGATATATGTCTGGATGAAGTGCGAGTTTAGTGTGACAGTTGCCGCCAAACACTTTTCAGAACGAAGTGCTGTGGCATTTGAATCGGCCACAGATCGGCTGCAGTCTTGGCTGGGATGTTTTGCGGAGAAAGGGAGGGGGATTTTTACGTTTTTATAGTCGTCTGACAAAATGCTTTAAAGACATTTCTTGAAGCTTCATGTATAAACATAATCGGCAATGAATGGAAGGCAATCTTCCGTGGAATGACATAGGTTGTATTTTTGCCTGAACAAATCGTAATAAAAATGTCAAATGATTTCACAGAAATGAAAACAGTTGTAGGAAGGGGGAAAGCACGGAGCGTAAATAAGTGCATACAAATGACGAGTGAATGTCAGCAATATTAGAAGTAAAAATAAAAGAATATTTCTTTAACTTGCATATTTTCTTACTTCATATTTTGCGTTCAAAATATTATTTTAATGTTTTAATGTTTCTTAAATACCGCTTAGACGTAGCATACAGTGCAATGACATATAATGCGTGAGGAAAAAATGTGTATATATAATTATTGTTTGAGTTTTCCGGAAAATCATTTTTGAATCTTTCTCCCACAGCATTATATATTCTGAAATGTAGCAAACCACGATAACAAGAGCAACTTTTAAGAATTTCTTCACGCTTATGCGAGTAACTAAAATCGATTTAAGTCGATTTTAAATTGAAAAATGTGTCCTGAAGTTTAAAACTTCACTGCGTTAAAGAATATCAGATGAAGTTGAATGTCACCGTACAAGAATGACAAAAATCCTCCGGTATCTTTGTGGATTAATGAATAGTGAGGATTAAAGCAAAGCATGTTGGCCTACTCGCTGCCGAAGTGCAAATGTCTTCATGTACGACACAATATGGTGTGTTGAAATAGCCTGTAGTCAAAACTGAAAGTATGTGCACCGGGGCATAATTCAGCAACAAAGAACACTAAATGCATTATAGTAAACATGTTCTACATTTTCACACGTCTTTTACAGTATAGGTTATATGAAAGACACTTCATTATGATAGACGCATTTCAGTCTTATAGGTAGTTTTCCAGTGAACATCATTCCCACCCCTGAATATTTTTCCTATTAGACACATGATGAATCTTTCATGATTATACATTTGAAGACTCTGACTTGTCTCGAACCCGGCTTCTTGCTCTTCCGCAGGGCTGCTTCGGCCTGGTGTACGCAAGGACATCATCAGGAAGAACGGCGACTGCAACATCACCTTCTCGAACCTGAAGAAGCGACGGTCTCGTTACCTTCAGGACCTGTACACCACGCTCGTCGACGTGCAGTGGCGCTGGACCCTCCTGGTCTTCTTCCTAGCCTTCATTATTAGGTAGGCCTACCACACTCTCATTCTTCTCCTCAGCCTATTACACTACATATTGGACTTTCGTATTGTCATTACTTGCTAATGCTGATCGCGATGTAATTTAGCTAAATTCCCCTTAGGCGTCTCTTGACGAGATATCCAACAATTCCTTCAGTAGTAGTATTCGTCAGCAATAGTATTACTTTATTACATAATAAACATCTCACTACAGTAGTTTACAAGAATAAAAACACACTTGTATTTATCAAACTTTCATTCACCACCATTATTCTTCACTAATTTATTTCTCGGAAATGAGTTCACGGCAAATAATATAACACAAATCCGTACACTAGTTGTCTGTTGTTGTTTTGATATTACTTAATCAAAAATTGCCTTTATATTACTTTCCAATGCAGTAATTATCACAAAATCAGATCTGAGAATGAGAAACCTCATCAATGTTTTCTTGCTCCCTCTCTAGCTGGCTCATCTTCGCCTTCATCTGGTACATGATCATCAAGGTGCACGGCGACCGCGCGGAGCCTTGCATCTACAATGTGGAGACTTTCACGGCCAGTTTTCTCTTCTCGATTGAGACGCAGCACACCATCGGATATGGACACAGGTAGATACTCTCTATCTCTCTCTCCCTGTCAGAGTTTTGTGTTTTGCCCTGTTTTGGTGGTTGTATGGAGACAATTCTGGTTCAGCTGTTTATTGATAGGAGGGGTAGGTAGTGTGGCGCGGGCTGTGTCGTGCAGTGCAGTTTTGGGCAAAAGGGAGCCCTAGAGGCGCGCCGAGCGGGGCGCGCGTGGGGAGAGACCCCCAGGGAGGAGGTCTGGTCAGGACCGTGAACCCTGGTCAAGTGTGCTGCCCTAGGTCAACTGTCGAAGCATTCAAGAACAGAATCGGCAGCACCCATCGCTGGGGGACGCGGCTAGGTACTCCTCATTCCTCAGATCGCTCGGCATACGCTACTAAACGTCGTCCGCGACGGTCTGGTGCACAATCTGCACCTCGCCCGCCGTGATTGTCTTCCTTGACCTGGAGAAGGCTTTTGAGTTGGCAAGTCCACTTGCCATTCAAGAGACCCTAATCCACAAAGGAGTCAAAGGCATACTCTTGGCCTGGATAGCTGACTATTTTAAAAATAGATCAGCAAATGTCAGATTTCAAGGCCACCTCTCACAGCACATGCCACTTGAAAATGGAACTCCTCAGGGAGGGGTTCTTAGTCCAGCCCTGTTTAATACTCTCATGTCCAACATACTCGACATTCACCTGCCAGAGGGATGCAAGATCATCTCTTATGCAGATGACTTGGCAATCATAGCCTCTGGCAACCACTGCCTAACTAGGGCTCAGCGTTGTCTGAACCTGGTGTCTGAAGAGTGTTGTAGGACGGGTCTAAAAATAGCAGCAAAATCCAAAGCAATGGCACTGAGAACCAATGTCAGAAACAAAAAACTCACCATACAGGGTATGGATCTGGAATGGGTGAAGGAATATCTATACCTTGGTGTATGGATAGGACACACACTCACTTTCAAAAAGGAGATCCAATACCTGCTTGACAGAACCAAGGAAAGACTGTCAGTCATGAAAGTCATGACAGGGAGACACATAGGAGCAGGACACAAAGTACTAAGATCATTCTATGTACATGCTGTCCGTCCTATTATTGACTATGCATCTGTCGCCCTCATTGCTTCCAGCACAACATTAAAAGAAAAACTGGAAACAATACAAAACGAAGCAGCCAGGATCATTCTAGGTGCACCTAATTGGACAAAGGTCATCAACCTCCTCATGGAAACTGATTTACCGTCCGTGGACACTAGAATTGATCTAATGGCAGCACAGTTCCTTTCCAAGGTCCTGCAGGCACCCACAAACTCCTATTTAAGACAAAGAGTTCTCAGACGCCTACAACAAGATTATCAGTTGTTTGCAGACAATTCCTGGCTCACACATACAGCCAGAGTTTTGATACGCTTTCAACTAAAAGATTCATTGCTTGCCAAGGGTATGGACTCCCCCCACCATGATTACAAAGAACCCCCGCCGTGGGCAAACGAAATGATCGAATTCTCAATTCTAAATCTCACAATGAGAAAAGATCAATATTCCATGCCTAGCCTAAAGGCACAAGCACAATGGGTCATTGAACAAATAACTCCGCCGGGTAGTATAACTTACTACACGGACTGATCCATGGATCCAATAAACCATACTGCAGGCGCCGGCTTTGCAACAAAGGATACCACAGCATCCATTAGGGTCACTGACAATGCCTCAACGCTTCAGGCTGAAACGGTTGCGATCATGGAAGCATTGACACACGCGTCCCTGAGGGGAGGGCACGTTGTCATTCACACAGATTCAAGAGCAACTATTGACAATTTACAGCATAGCATGCCCCCAGATAACATCTACCTCTTGACAACAGTACTGTACATAGCCCAAAGAATCCTTAGTCAAGGTAGAAGAATCATCATAAACTGGGTCCCAAGCCACATAGGCATACAAGGGAACGAGCTTGCTGATAAACTAGCCGAAAAGGGCAGGGGTATGCCCCATCCTCCATGATCGTTAAACCCAGCCGAAGGGGACTGAGCCAAGGTATCAAAGCTGCAGCGTGTGCGGTCCTCCGGGGAGCACATAGAGAAAACATCACAAAATCGCTCGCTGCCAAGTGGTACTCAGATGCTTCAGGCTATGAGCCACTGGCCCTTCCTCCAAACACAAAAAGAGGTACCGAAGTCATACTATTCAGACTAAGACTAGGTTACCCGTGCGCTTGGCAAATTATTGATAATGAGACTACCAGGTTATGCAAACACTGCGGCGAGTCTAACGCCACCCTGTTACATTACTTGCAGAATTGTGTACACACAATTTCTGAGACAGGGACCACCCACCACAGCCGCCGGGCTGGTAAAAAGGGTGTGCAACATGCTTTCACCATGGCAGCTGGATCGCTTGCTTGCAATCCAGCCACCGCGGTAAGCATGCAGTTCAAAGAAAACATTTGAGTTAACTAGAAATAGTTAACACAGGCCGGGCCACTCCAGAGAAAAGGCCCGGGCGAAGCATGACTTCGCAAATCTAACTGAACTGAACTGAACTGAACTGGTCTGGTGCTGAGATCGAGTCGACATTTGTTGGCACAGGCCGGGCTCCCTCATAGCCCGGGCGAGGCTCAGCTTCGCATATCGGACTTATCCTTATCCATATCTGGTGCTGGCGTTCTCTGAAATAAGTACACCGAGGCAGAGACAGGGCGAGAGACAGGAGGGCAAACTGTGGGGGAGGGGGGTTGTGTGATAGCAAGGGCCGTAAGATATAATCAAAATATATCAGATTGCAATGTTTATTATTACAAATATTTTCATGAATTTTAAATTTTTATTATATTTTTTTCGACAATTCACTGTCCAAGGATAGACAGAGGAACATGCTTAGGGAGACAATTGCAATAGTCTGCGAGGACTTGCTTGAGTTGCAATTGCCTCATATAGCAAGAGATGAAAATCTACAAGAGATAAGCATTGTGCAGAACTACTAGGAAGCAAAAGGTGTCGCAGTTCGCAAGAACGTCTTGAATGACTAACTTCCTAGGGAAAAGAATGAAAATGCAATGCAGAGTTCAGAAGTGTTCAGTGCAATAGTGCATACGGTATATGTCTGACTAATAGTAAATGTATCTCATTTCATTGAAGTTGTCTATCACACGTCACCAACAGCAATTTGAGGCAAAGCAATAATGAAAACAGGTAATGGTGAGTAGACGAGTGTTAGTGAATCGTGAGTTATGAAATGAGTAAGTCAGAGTATATCGCACGAGTAGAAAATAGAATGCTGATAGATTTTGTTAGTCATTAGTAGTTTTTCAAGGTAAGAGCGAGAGTAAAAAAGGAATAGGATGGCGTGGAAGTTGGAAGAAATAAGCGAAGGGGAAGAGTGGGTGGGCGGGAGGCTAAGGTAAAAGAGGTTTAGGTGAGGATGGGGGGGGGGGTCAGGTATGTAGACGGGGGCGGGAATATGGGCTGCATGCAGTAAAATTAATTACTGATCTGACTGTACGTAAAAAGAACATCTTAGGTAATACCAGCGATAATCTCACGTATAGCGATAAGAAGGCACGGCGCGGCGCTGAGATCTCCTGGGCGATAAGTTTGCGGCTCGGCACATAAGAACAACTTAATATTAATTACCTTAACCTAATTACATGTCCATACCCAGCTGGGGGTCGTCACCAAGGACCATGTAATAATGATGAGGTGAGGTTTGTGATTAAGATAAGCGAAAATCACGAACAATGTGAAATCGTAGTAGCTGTATAATATAATTAATCTCTAACACGGAGATCATTGAATAAGATATAAATACAATTAGATTGAATGTATTTTTGGGTCGAGCAGAGTCAGATGGCCATAAGTATCTTCTAACTGAGTAAGGTCATATGAGGTCGTTATCCGAACATTCGCTAAAAATAGCAAGAGCTAGTATATGTAAAATTAAATTATATTGTGAAAAAACAAGTACACAATGTCATTTGATTACTCATAATTACTTCCCACAAAATTATTTGTTCTATTTACTAGACATTATGATACAAGTCACGTATCCCCTCATATTTTGCATGTGTACGTAACTCCTATGTAAACATGAGTATTGTATACGCCTCCAGAATATATCTGTGCAGCTCAGCAGAGCTCCGTATTTCATTCACCCTTTTCCTCTAAAATGATACAACATAAACCATAAGAAGACATGGTGGCAGCTGAACTCAGTCTCCAAACACTGAGGAAAAGGGGAAAAAGGTATACTAACATGATTCTCAAACCAAATGGTGCTATATTCCACAAGGTGCTATGTTCCCAACAGATTCTCTAAGAAACTTATATTTTTCTATGTTTCCATAACTGATTTACCAAGCAGTCTCAGGTGCAATCTCAGTTACTTAATAAGTTGAAAAGTCAATAAATACCAAATAGTATTTTTGCTACAATACAGATTCTCACATAGTTTTGTAACAACTATATATCCTATATGATGAGTATATAACCCATATATTCTTTTAATTTGAAAAAGAGGGATGTCATATGATTACTCATAATTATTTCCCACAAAATAATATGTTCTATTTACTATACATTATGATACAAGTCGTCACGTATCCCCTTATATTTTGCATGTGTAAACATGAGTATTGTATACTCCTCTGTAAACATGAGTATTGTATACTCCTCCAGAATATATCTGTGCAGCTCAGCAGAGCTCTGTATTTCATTCACCCTTTTCCCCTAAAATGATACTACATAAATCATAAGAAGACACACAATAATCTAGAAATTAAATACATAAATGATTAATGAAAAGATATATCTATAAAGAAGGCAAATAATTACGGCGAAATATACTTCGGAGTATGCACAAATGTACTATAATAATAACTTAAAATCGTACGATTTAATTCGATGAATTATGCTAATATTATTACAGTTCCCAATATATTCATGCGAACCGGAAGTAAATTCATCACTTCGATAATGGGATAATGACAATATTATACACGTGTAAATAAGCTTAAATGTGAAAAGAAAAAAATCGAGCTTAATA